GTCCCCACTTTCCCCATCCTAGGGTAACTTGTGCCCTTAGGGACCCCAGGTGGTGGCACAAGAGGCAGTCACTCCCCATGGCCCTGACCTTCTCTCTGGAATGTCAGAAAAGATTCCTGCCCCAAAGAAGGATCAGGGTCTTTAACACGTTTCCAGTCTTCAAACTCTGGGATTCTCTGTCTGCCCTATAGGTTCCCTAGGGAGACAAAGCTCCAAAAAGGAAGGTGGCTGCCATTTCTGGGGCTGTCCTCCTTGAGCTGTCAGGGTGCCCTTGGGCCCCTGGCTAATGGGTGTCTAGCCATGCCTCAGGCTTCCGGGGAAGGTAGTGCCACCTGCTACCACCCTCAGCTGCAGACTGGTGATGCTCGGGCCAGACTGAGGCCACCCCGTGAAGTAGGGGGAGTTATCACAGGGCCCCTGACTTGTGGGCCCTCCACATTCAGTGGTGTGTTTTCCTTGCTCCCTTCCTAACTTGGCTTGTTGAATCTGAAATTCATTCACACTCAGGTGTGGATGACTGATAAGAAGGGAGATATATATATGTTAGGGGCCTGAAATTTCCATACCAGGGTGCCAAGGTCTGGTTGCTCTCTCAGCCTGGAGAGGCCTTCCCTGACAGGTTCTCGTTGCATAAAGATAGGCCCCCAGCTTCCCAGGGAGCAGGGACGTGCCTTCTTTCCTGGCGGAGGGTGGAAAATTGTGGGCAGTGTCTGTGGTGAGAGGGAGATGATTGCCCTCAGGCCCTGGGCCCAGCCCTCCTAGCTGTCGGAGGACCGGTCATTTCTCCATCCCGAGAATGGGGCTGAGAAGCCTGCCCTGCCTCCCCTGCAGAGTGGCTGTAAGACCCAAACGACCTCAAAGCTCTGAAAGGAGCTTGTTAACTGCTACATGCTGAGTAGGTCAGGTTGCTGATCTATCCTCCGGCCGAGAGAGGAGAAGGGAAGCTGGAGGCCCAGGGTGGCTGGGGGAGGAAGAGGCCCCCGAGTGAGATGCCAGGCCCTGTGTATAATGAACCTGGGGGCCTCTGGCCCTTCTCAGCCACCCCACTGAACTATTTCATCTACTGATTTAGGATTTTTTCCATAATTCCATTCACCAAACTGTGAGCCTGCCCAAATGGTCAGGACCCTTTGGCCACAAAGGGGCAGAAACCCAACTCAGTTTCCACAAAAGGGACCTATTAGAAGGCTGCCAAGGAGGTCTCAGAACCAGAGGAACTGCCGAGGAGCCAGGCAGTTCTCGGGGGCCTGGGAGCGTGAGACTGGGGACCAAAGGTACAGGGTGCTCTCTGTCCACCTCTCATTTCTGTTGGTCTCCCCCAGGCTTCATTCCCTCCTGCGGCAGACAGGGCTCCATGTGAAGGGAAACAGCCCCCAGCAGCAGGAGATGAGTATCCTTCAAGGACATCCGTCCTTGTGTCTACCTCCACCTCTGCGGCTGCTCCAACAAATCCCAAGAAGGGCCCTGATTGGCTTGCATCAGGTGGCCACCCCTGAGCCAGTCACCCTGACCAGTATGGGACACTCCTATTGGCCAGAGTCTGTTCTCAGAAGGGGGCGGGGCAGCTCCGAACACCAGCTACCTCCAGTAAAGCTGACTTAACATGGGCCAGGGATTAGGGAGAAAAAGGAGTCAGAAACAGCCCCTGCACCTCAAGGAGCTCACAGTCTAGGGTGGGTGTGCATGGAGGGTGATCAATCAGATCACTGAAGGGACAGCAGTACAGAGGTCTGATAAAGGGCAGGGGTCAGATGAACCGCCTGGGCAGGGAGGGACCATGCTTTATATCATCTTTTTTTTTTTTTTAATTCCAGTTAGTTAACAAACGATAGTTATCAGAGGGGAAGTGGGTGGGGGTTGGGTTATACAGGTGATGGGGAAAGTGAAAACTGTCAACTCTGACCTTATTATGAGGTTAATGGTTTCACACTTTAACCTTACAAATGACATCAGACCCCGTGGTATGGAGGTTTCTGTAAGCCCTGCAGGACGATAGGGACTCTTTTTGATACCCACCATGTACCTGGAGCGCATCTGCCTCTTCTTTCTGAGGAGGGGGCTCAGGACCCCGGAGCCCACCACGGGGTGGGTCCTGCAGTGTCATGCCCAGAGGGGGCCACAGCTCCAACCAGCAGCAAGAAAGATGAAGAGCAGACCTCAGGAAGAGTTGTCGGGTCCTAAGACAATGAAGCACTAGACAGTAGAACCAGCAAAAGCTGCCCTGTTCCAGAGGGCGGCCTGCCTGCCCCCAGGTGGGGTTTCCCCAGCACGAGGCCTCCCAGGAGGAAGGAGAGGGAAGGGCCTACCTGGATGGTGAGTCTGGGCAGCGCTGTGAGAAATATCTGGAGAGTCAGTCGGCTCCAGGGCAACACCAGCCAGAAACCTGAGGCTCCCCCCGCCAAGCTGGGTCCTGCTCCCTTGGGTGTGGCCCACAGCGTGTCTTGGGATACATCTGGGCCCAAAGGGAATGCCGGAATGCTTTCAGCCAGAACTCTGGAGGGAACTTTTGGCGGGAGCCCCAAGAGCCCAGAGACAGAGCTGGGAGGAATAGGGCTGGCCTGTTGTCTCTTTCCTCCTGGTGCCCAGACTGCCAGGCCCCTCCATCCTAATCCAGCCCCAGTCACCACCAAAGCCACCTTGCCCTCTGCCGCTCCCCTGGAGATAGGGAAGGGCCTCACTCAAGGATACCATCTCAGGTCAGCACTCAGAGGTAGGGCTCCGAGGTATTCTCTCCCCAGCGCAAGACCCCTGTCCCCCATCCTCCACACCCCCCCCCACCCCCAGTACTCGTTTCAGACATTATCTCAGAGGAATTTCCATAACCACCTGCAGAAGGAAGATATCGAAACTGAAGCTCAGATAGGTTAAGTAAATTGGCCAAGGTCAGACAGCAAATCACTAGCAAAGCCAGAAATGCAAAGTCATCTGGCACCTCTAAGCAGCATCCCCTCCCAGCCACACCCTCTGAGGGGCTAATAGTCAAATACACCAGCTGGTTCTTCCACAAATCTGGACACAATCGGTTTGTGAATTTGCATTTGATTTGCATAAGGGTGTCACAAATATATGGATGTCTTCCCTACACGGCCTCATGCCCCCTCACCCCCGTCTCTCTCTCTCTGCCCCCCACCTCCCCCCACACACAGCCAGGCTTTTCCTCCTTGAGATGCCTGGTGGACTGGGGAGTACCATCTGGTCCCCTCCATCTGCCAAGGACACCTTTGCTGGTTCAGAGTGTTCCTTCCCACCGGGCACTACACAGTGCACCGAGTCAGGGAGCAAATCCGAGGGGAAATTGCCGGGAAGCGGAGCTCCGTGGGAGCCGCCCCGTTTCAGCCTGCAGCCTCAGGGCAGGGGCACCTGCAGCAGGGAGGCACGAATGGACAGATGTGGAGGAGGGTCCCCAGCCCCGGATACATCCTCTGTCTCCTGTCTCCAGCCCCAGATTTAGCTGCCTTTTCGCCTCCCACGCCTTCCCGCTGCCGTCTGGAATGTTGGGAGGCTGGGAGAACTAGGAAGACAGGATCGGGAGATGGGGCGGGGGGGAGGGGGGGAGGGGGGCGGAGCCACAGCTCTCAGAGGGGAAGAGAGAAGGTGCGCCGGCACCCTGGACAGAGCAGGGTCTGGTCCCCCCCCGCCCCCACCCCCGTCTTCGTCTCTGCCTACACTATCCAAAACAGAGGCCGCTAGCTACACGTGACTATGGAGCCATCTGATTTCGAAGGCTTAGTATGAAAAAGTGTATATAAAATATCTCATTAATTTTTATATTGATTACATATTTCAATGATGATACTGTGGACATATTGGGTTAAACATAAAATTAATTTTTACCCATTTCTCTTTATTTTTTTTAAATGTGGATGCTAGAAAATTTTAAACAGTATATGTGGCTTGCATTTTGACATGTATTGCATTTCTATTTGGCGGTGCTGTTCTCAACTCCATCTTCCTGGTTAGGCAGTTGCTGTTCTGTAAAATACTTAACCCTGGGAGCTGTTTTGAACTAAATGGTTCTTTATTATACCTCGGTCTTTTGGCAATGCACACCCCCACGCCTCATCCTCAGAGGGGCAGTACAATGTAGGGTTAAGAGTATGAACTTGAGGGGCGCCTGGCTGGCTCAGTCGGTAGAGCGTGCAACTCTTGATCTGGGGGTTGTGAGTTCGAGCCCCACGTTGGGTGTAGAGATTATTTAAAATCTAAAAAAAAAAAAAAAAAAGTATGAACTTGATAGACTGAATTTAAATCCATCCTTGTTATTTATAAGCTGTGTGACGTGGGGCAAGTCAATTAACCTGTGTTTCAGGTTCACATCAGAAAAATGGGGAAAATATGAGTGCCTATCTCAAAAAGGCTTTTGTGAGGATGAAATGAGTTAATATGCATAAAGAACCTTTTAGAGATGTGTCCAGGGCGCCTGGGTGGCTCAGCCGGTTGAGCATCCTACTCTTGGTTCCAGCTCAGGTCACGAGCTCAGGGTCATGGGATCGAGCCCCACGGCAAGCTCCATGCTCAGTGGGGGGGTCTGCTTGAGATTCTCTCTCCCCCTCTGCCCCTCCCCTGCTCATGCTTGCACGCTCTCCCTCTCTCTCTCAAATAAATAAATAAATCTTTTTTTTAAATAAGTAAATAAATAAGTGTCCAACATATATCAGTTACTTATCATTGCTGTGTAGGTATTATTATCCAAACTGTGGGCCTGCTTCTTACTACGGTTGCATGTGTCACAGTACACTGTGCCTCTTTGGATGCATTATTTTATTCACTTCTCCCGTTCCTCTTATAGGTAACTGCCATTCTCATTTCACAGAGGAAGCATATGAAACTATAAGAGATTCAGTAACTTGCCCAAGGCCACACAGCTAGCCAATGGGATCTGTACCTGGATCAGCTCTACTCCAGAGATGGACCCTTAAGAACCACTCTGTGCTACCTCTCTTGCTAAATGCCCACTCCAAAGTTAAGACCTCCACCCCTCCTCTCCCTCCAGGGCATCGAGGACCTGCCAGTGTGAGAGACTCCTCGTCACAAGGCCATCACCAAGGGGCTACCTGCCCCTAGGCTGCCAGTCCACAGCATGCAGGAAACCCTAGCAACATCGACACTGTCAGCCCCCCGCCGATCCTCAATCTTCACGCAGGAAAGGTTCTCCACTGCAGGCCAAACTTCAAGCACAGGCCCCCAGCCCTCAAGGTCCTCAAACATCCCACCCCCCGGCGAGTCCAAGGGCTGGAATTCTGGGACCAAAGTACGTCGGATGCGCAGGATCATAGCTGAGGATCCTGAATGGTCACTGGCCATCGTGCCCCTCCTCACAGAGCTCTGCATTCGGCACATCATCAAGAACTTCCAGAGTGAGTCTGTCCCTGCCCTGGGCAGGAGGGAAAGGCCAGGAGTGGGGCAGGATGGGTGGGATTTGCCCAGAGGCCAGCCTCAGCGAGGCCTCAGAGGCTGGGTCCCGGCACAGCCCCGGCCCTTCCGCACTGTGTTCTCATCCCTGCTCAACACTGCCCTTCCCCCTTGGGGCCAGAATGATTCCTCCCACTGCCCCCACTTCCAGGCCCCACGAGATTCCCATCCACACTGTGCCCTGCACGCCTATGGCCTCTCCTCACCTTTCCCACTCTCTCCAGCCAAAGCCAGCCCAAACTGTGTTTACCGAACACCTCCTCCAGTAAGCCCTCACTGGTGGACCATCCTCCACTCTCTTGGAGCCTTCCACAGTGTGTATAGGCTCTTGGTTTGTTCTGTACTCTGTGCTCTATAAATGGTCATCCTTTTCAAAGATGAGTTGCCAACCTCTCCTACCAGACGGGGTGCTCTGAGGACAGGATCGTCATTTTATCTACAGCACCTACTGCCACCCGACCTACAATATACTCACCTGACTGATTTGTTGTCTGCCTCCTCTTCTAAGAGGGAGTGGCTTCCTCTGTCTTGTTCACTCTTATATCCGCGGCACTTACATCAGTGTCTGGTGCACAGGAGGTGCTCAAACATTGTCTTGTTTTGAGATGAATGAATCAAATCATTTGGGAATCTCTGAACTCAGGATTATGTCCTGCATCAGACCAAGTGATAACTGAGGGCTAGACCTGAGATTCTTGCTCAGACCGGGAGCTCCCAGAAACCAGATACTACGCTGTCCACTTCAGGCAGGAACACCCCAAAGCCAGGGCCTGCGTCTCCTGTCTCAGCCTGAGCATCCCTGGGAGTAAAGGCTGTCGCCCCTCTCGGACTGGGGCTCCCCGAGGGCCGGGAGGGTCTTCCATTTCCTCGGTGCCCCTAGGCAGGCCCGACCCAGGGCACCACGCCCTGGGGCTCGCCCACACTGTGACTCCTGCTTTCCTTCCTGTTCCCAAAGACAACCCTATCCTGAAGCAGCTGCTTCCAGAGCACCAGCAGAAGGTGCTGAGCCACTTGTCACCGGAGCTGCCGCTGGCTGTGACCGCCAACCTGATCGACGACGAGAGCTACTGGCGCCGCTGCTGCATGCACCGCTGGCCCGTGTGCCACGTGGCCAGGCACGGCGGCAGCTGGAAGCGCCTGTTCTTCGAGCGGCACCTGGAGAACCTGATAAAGCACTTCATCCCAAGCACCACGGACCCCGCCGTGCTCCTCGACCTGCTGCCGCTCTGCCGGAGCTACGTGCGCCGGCTGCGCGTGGACCAGCTCCTCCCGCCCGTGCAGCTGCCCGGCCCACCCCGGACCGGGGAGCTGTCCGACTCGGGCAGCGAGGGGGAGACGGAGGAGCCCGCCACCGACCACTACCAACTGCGCGACCTGGTGGCTGGCCTGAGCCACCTGGAGGAGCTCGACCTGGTGTACGGGGTCAAGGACTGCGGCATGAACTTCGAGGGGAACCTCTTCCTCTTCACCTATCGGGACTGCCACTCCCTGGCGGCCACCATCAAGGCATGCCACACCCTCAAGGTACCCGTCGGCCCAGCCTTCCCCCACCTCCCATCCTCAGCGCCTCTCGGACTCCCTCTCCCCTCCTCTTCCTCCTCCTCCATCCCCATCTTCTCCCTCCCGTTTCCTTCTCATTCACTGACCAAGTGTCCTTTAATACACCCTGCACCAAGCCGGATTCTGGGGGTGCAGAGATGAACAAGGCACTGCCTTCCCAGTTCATGAGCCATTTATCCGTCCAAGGATCGTCTGCGCTCCAGGCCCTATCCTAGGTGCTGAAGATTCAACAAGGAGCAAAATGAAACCATTTGTGCCCTCCGGAGCGAACAGGCTGGTGGGATAAAAGGCACTCATCAGCAATCATGTAAATGTGAAATTACAACTAGGATAGGCTTGCTAGATTTAGCAAATAAAAATACAAGACATCCAGTTAAATTTGAAACTCAAATACACAGCGAGTAATTTTTTGGGTGAAGTATGTCCCAAATATTCTGGTTGGGAGAGGGAAAGCCTGCCAAAAAGTCAGAGAAAGAAGAAAAGGGGGACATGGCCCTGAGTCACAGAGCCAAGGGAGGGGTGCGTTTCAAGAAAAGGGGCAGGCAGCAATGGGGGGTGGTGATGCTGAGGACCGAATTTAGCAAACTCGGAGGTCACAGAGCCGGAACTGTCAGTGGAGTGCCAGAAACAGGGACCAGATCTGAGTGGTTTATGGAAAGAGTGGGAAGTGAGGAAACAGGATGGGTGTGATCAGCTTTTTCAAGAACTTGGCTGTGACGGGGGTGAAGGGGAAATCGTAATAGATGAAGGGTTTGGGTTTTCTTAAAAAGATATTTGCATGTGTTTAAAACCAATGTAAAGCTCCATCCAATAGCAAGAAAGCGGCCGAGTCCAGGAGAAAGGCACAGGCTCATTGACCAAGGAAGGTTCCTGAGAAGGCAGGAGAGGTAGAATTGAGGACCGAGGTGGGACCGTTGGCTCTGGGCAGAGGAGAGAGTGGATGTGGTGGGTAGCAGTGGGTTGCTGTTCGGTATTAGGAAAGTGAGGGGTTCTCATTCAATGGCCGGGGAGGCAGGAGGAGACTTGACTGCTGAAAGGGGGCTGTAAGGTGGCCCCCTGAAGTTTGAGGAGGCTGAAGAAGGTTGAAGTCATTGTTTCAGAGGAGGAGAGAGCATGTTGTCCAGAGAAACAGGGCTGGATTGGCACACAGCATTGAGGGTCTATTGGTGGTTCGAGCGATACCCACCAGTCCTGTCATGTGACATTTTTCCATCACGTCAGTTGCTTGGGCACAGATATGCAGAAACAGAGAGTGGGCTTGATCCAGGATTGGAGCTTTGCCAGATAGGTGCAATGAAATGACAAGAGGGACAACAGGCTCTCAGTTGGCAGGGGACTGAAGGATGGGAAGAGGGTGGAGGGGCCTCAAGGAAGAGGGAGGGGTGGAAGGAGCTGGGGAGAAGGGGGAGGGTTAGGGCTCCCATCGCCGGTGTTCCCCACGCTAGTCCTACCCCACCCTTTCATCTTTCTCTCCATCCTTCCATTTCCCATCTCTCACCCTGGTTCTTACCCTGGCATCTCCTTCCAAGAGTTCCTCTCCTCGCCCTGGTGGATCTTGGCCAGCTGAAGAGGGCACGGCGAGGGGCTGGGGCATCAAACAGACCTGCATTCAAACCTGCCTCTGGGGCTTGATCACTGTGTGACCCTTGACAAATGACCCATCCACCCTAAGCCTTCCTTTTCTATCTGTAAAGTGCCTGGGATGCTGAGGGTTTGAGATAATGGTTATGATACCCTTGAGCAGCATGCCCAGCATGCAGTAATTTCTCGATAAATGCTAGGCTTTCCTTCTACTGCCTGCCACCAGTTCGGCACCGATCTGCCATGTGGGGCAGTTCTGCTCTGCCCAAGGGCCAGTCAGGTGGCCAATAGCAGGTGAGCAGAACCTCAGGGCTCCCTGGGGCCCCCTCCTCTCCCTGCAGAAGGTAGGTAGGCAGGCAGGCAGATTCTCCCTGGCTGCGGGCTGCTGCATACCCTTTACCTGCCCACAGATCTTCAGGCTGACCCGAAGCAAGGTGGACGACGACAAGGCACGTATCTTAATTCGCGGCCTCCTGGATCACCCAGCCCTCGAGGAGCTGGACCTGTCACACAACCTCATCGGGGACCGGGGAGCGCGAGCCGCAGCCAAGCTGCTGAGCCACAGCCACTTGCGTGTGCTCAACCTGGCCAACAACCAGGTGCGGGCGCCTGGTGCCCAGTCTCTGGCTCACGCCCTGGCACACAACACCAACCTCATTTCCCTCAACCTGCGCCTCAACTGCATTGAGGATGAGGGTGGCCAGGCACTTGCCCACGCCTTGCAGACCAACAAGTGCCTCACAACACTGCACCTCGGTGGCAATGAGCTGTCTGAGCCCACCGCCACGCTCCTCTCCCAGGTGCTCTCGGTCAACACCACGCTCACCAGCATCAACCTGTCCTGCAACCACATTGGGCTGGTAAGCTGTGCCCTCTGGGGCCTTGGGGGGTGGGTATGGAACCCAGCTGCCTTTGGGTGCTTCCAGGGTAATTGTTAAGAGCACAGACTTTCCCTGGTTCCAATCCCAGCTCTGCCATTTTGCACTTGGTTAAATTACTTAACCTTTTTGGGTTTCCATGTCCTCATCTGTAAAATGGGGATCATAATAGTATCTACTTCTAAGTAGATACTATTGTTACTGGGAGGACGAAATGAGTTGTATTTGTAAAGAAGTTAACATTACAGACACTGGCTAGGACCTCAGTATTGCTAGCTGTTACTATTATTCAGGGTTATATCTTATGCTAGGCACTGATATCCTTCAGTGTTCCTTTATTCCTCACAGTTATCTAGTAGAATGTGTATTCCTTTTTTTTTTTTTTTGAAGATTTTATTTTTAAGTAATCTCTATACCCAACATGGGGCTCAAACTCACAACCCTAAGATAAAATGTTGCATGCTCTACCGACTGAGCCAAACAGGTGCCCCTAGTAGAACGTGAATTCTTTCTTTCCTTTTCTTAAGATTTATTTATTTACTTGAGAGAGAGAGAGAAAGGGAGATGGGGGAGGGGCAGAGGGAGAGGGAGAAAGAATCTCAAGCAGACTCCTGGCTGAGCCAAGAGCCTGACACAGGGCTCAAACTCATGACCCTGAGATTGTGACCTGAGCCGAAATCAAGAGTTGGACACAACCGACTAAGTCATCCAGGCACCCCTAGAGTGTGTATTCTTAACCCCACTTTACAGATGGAAAATTGAGTCTCAGAGAGGCTAGTGAATTGCCCAAGAGCGTCCAGTCAGTAGAGAGTGGCAGAGCTGTGATTCAAACTCAGGACCGTTGAAAACCAGATTTACTTATTTGGGGCGCCTGGGTGGCTCAGTCAGTTAAGTGTCTGCCTCAGCTCAGGTCATGATCCTAGGGTCCTGGGATTGAGTCCCACCTGGGGCTCCCTGCTCAGCGGGGAGTCTGCTCCTCCCTCTGCCTCTGCCCCTCCCCCCTGCTCATGCACATGCCTCGCTCTCTCTCAAATAAATAAAATCTTTTTTTTTATTTATTTGAGAGAGAGAGAGTGTGCGCAAGGGGCAGAAGGCGAGGGAGAGAGAGAATCTCAAGCAGACTCCCCGCTGAGCACGTGGAGCCTGATGCAGGGCTGGATCTCTGGACCTTGACATCATGACCTGAGCAGAAAACAAGAGTCAGACGCTTAACCCACTGAACCACCCAGGCGCCCCACCTGGGTCCTTTCTGATAGATGATGTCTCTCATTTTCTTGACCAAGTCTCAGAATAAGAAATGCAATTTTCATGAACACCTAGTAAACATATACATCAATATAGTATCATTGAAATGTACTTTTACTGCTTGTGATACATGCTGATATTTTCCTTTATCTTCTATTCTACTTCATTTTTTTAAAAAATGCATCTGCAACCCATTAAACTGGCTTTGCGACACACTCTTGGGTCACAACCATAGAACACGACCATTCTGTCTCTCACGTAAGAGCGTTTCCACATCAAGCATGGCCCACCCAGCCCAGAAGGGGTTGGAGCCGTGAGGACTAGTGAGGAGGGCCCTCCATGTCCTCCAGGCGGGGCCCTGCACCCTCTACCAAGAGAACAGTCTTGCTCAGACACACATACACCGTCTCCACTCGGGGTGCTTTTGGCTACAAGTAACGGAAACCTGAACCAGGAAACAGCTTAAACAAGAGGAATGTTCATTATGTCCCATGATCAGAAGCCCCAGGGTAGGGGGCCTCTGGAGTCGGTAAATTCGCTGGCTCAGTGCTGCCATCTGCTCTGCCCACCCAGCCACATGGCCATATCCTCTCAGGAGCTTCTCTCACGGTCCCAAGATGGCTGCTACACCTCACACAGGGCCAAGCTCAGAGGCAGAAAAAGGGAGAGCACCCCCTCTCTTGTTCTCTTTTCAGAGTGAGGAGACCCTTCTCAGAATGTCAGAATGTCCTCAGATGTCATTAGCCAGATTTGTCTCACATGCCCATGGCTGAATCGGAGGAGGGGAATTACCATCATTGTCACAGAGCCATGTTTTTCAAACCATGAGCATTGAAAAATCCATTTAGTAAGTCTTGAGCACCATTTTTCTTATAGAATAGAATGGACTAGGACAGGGTAGCATAGAACACAGTGTGCCTCACGAAGAGGCCAACCGTTGTTTTGCGAAACTCTCATTCTAGTCACATCTTTGTATAAACGTGTGTAAGTGTGCGCACACGCACACGCGATCCTGGGTAGTGATATGAAATGGCCCCTTCCCTTGTACTCCTCTCCCAGGACGGCGGGAAGCAGCTCCTGGAAGGCATGTCGGACAACAAGACCCTCCTGGAGTTTGACTTGCGCCTGTCAGATGTGGCCCAGGAGAGCGAGTACCTCATTGGCCAGGTCCTCTGTGCCAACCGGGAAGCCGCCCGCCAGCGGACCTTGAATCCTGGCCACTTCATGTCACCAGTCATCGCCAAGGGCCCTGAGAACCCTGCACAATAAGGTGGGGGACAGGGCTGGGGCAGTGACGGGACCTGGGTCACTGCCCTGGCCCCATCCCTCATTTCATGCTCGCTCATGCCTGCTGTAGAGTGCCACGCTGGTCTAGAGGGAGGAGAGTGGGAGAGACCACGGATATCCTCGGGGTCAGTGATCAAGGGTGATGCAGATAAAGACGGGGAGGGGCAGAGAAGGGGTATGAGGTGGGACCCGTACCCTGTACCCTGGAAGAAGATATTACCAGACCCCCTGAAATGACCGACTTCTTCCAGGATTAGGGAAGGCAGAGAAGATTCTGAGAGCCTCCCCAGACTCTCCCATGAAGGCCATCCATCTCCCTGACCCCTGCCTCCCGACCGTCGTCCTCTCTACTGAACAGATCCTGGACTTTTTGACCTTCAAACATGTGCATGCCTGCAGGGCACGCACACACCCTCAGTCTGTCTCTCCTCTGGCTACTGCAGAGCTTTGCCCTGCTCTTTCACTCTCACCCCTGCCGATGCTACCTCGCTATTACTTGACTCTGCTAAAGTGATCCCATTCTACAGGCCATTCCATCCCCTAATTCTCATCCTCCGCCCCCCCCCACACACACACACAACCTGGGAAGGGGGAAACAGAGGTGACAGGAGGGACTCAGACCCACTGCCCCCACCAGGGAGCTTCTGCTGGGAGGAGGAGAGCATGGGGGAGGTGCCACACAGAGGAGGGAAATCAGTGAGTCATCCGCAACTTTATTATCCACGTTTGATTTGTACAATCTTTGCGCTTGGAAATCCACAACAGAAAGGCCACAGTGTGATGCACCCAATTGACAGAGACCTGTCTTCTCCCCAGGCAGGCCCAGCCCACCCCCACAAGCCCTTGTCCTCAGCACATACGGAGCCTTCCAGGTGCCCTCCGAGAGTCCCCATCGCTCTGTGGCTGCCCACAGGAGTCACATCAACCCCCAGGGCCACAGGAGGACCTAATAGGTTCAGGCTGAGCCCCATCTCCCATCCTCCCCCACCCCGCTGAGGAGTCCAGAGCCTCCAGACCCGTGGTCTTTCCAAAGGATGGGTCATGGGCTGCAGCCACAGCCTAGGGGTGCCTGCTCTCCAGGGACTCTTTCCAACAAGCAGGCGCCATGCAGAGCACCAAAGGGGGCTTGGGAGTGACTGCACTTGTGTGCCTGTCTGGGCAACCTAGAGTCTGTCTGTGCCTGACACCCTCTTGACAGTTCGGGAGTGCAAACGTGTAGATGTGAGGGTATGAGTGAGTGAGTGTGTGTGTGTGTGTGTGTGTGTACATAGCCACAGCTGCTAGCAGAAGTTCTAATTAGAGAAACAAGAACATTCAGTGTAAAGTTTAATTTTAGAGATTAATTTTCTGGTTTTCGTTTTCCCTGGCAATCAATAAAGCTACCAAGAAAATAGACCAAAGAATCGCTTTCTCTCTAAGTCTGTGCGTGTGTGGAAGGCGAGGCTGTCTAAGAAGATCTAGGCAGAAATGGTCAATACAGGCAAAAATAATCGTAGGGGGTCCCCTGTCCCCTCCTCCCAGCTCAGGCTCGGTCTCAGGAATGGGCCCGAGGGAGAAGGAGATGAGTCCCTCCCTCCTTGGAGCCGGGAAGTGGCCAGGCTGCCTCCATACAAGGGCAGGACATCCCGGTGCCAGCTGGCCAAGAACGGGGGCCTGAGGCCACGGCTCACCACCTGGACCTCACAGATGTCCCCTCCGAGGAAAGAGGGGTGCTCCAACCGCCAGGGCCCCAAGGAGCACAGACTCGGGGTCCAGAAAGGTTCAGTGCTGACAAGCAGGTGGCCACGGCTGCCCAGGCCCAGGGAAACCTAGTGGGCAACTATTCCCTCCTGCCCAAGCCTCCCCTTCTCCCGCCTCCTCTGCCTTCCCACTCAGCCATCTCCACAGGAAAGGAAAGCTCAACCCTGATGGGCCATGGGCCGCGGTGTCCCCACAATCTGTATCTCCCAAGTCCCCCAGGGAAGGGGGACGGGGAGCCAGAGATGTTGCATAGGTGACGGTCATGCCCTTGGCAGGTGTAGGCCTGGCTAGGCTGGAGGAAGATGGGAGACGAGGCTGAAGGAGGGGAAGGAGGAGCTCATATGGCTCAGACAAAGTGAGGAGCATCAGGGGTGAGCGATGTTGGCTGCCTAAGGGTTATCCTCTCCAGCTTGAAATGTGAGCTCAGTCCCTGGGCACTGAGTCTGCCGGGAAAACTTTAGCCAGGGGAGTTGGGAGGGCAGGGGGTTGTACACAGACATGCACACTGAAGCACATCAGGGTGGGAGTGGTGGGAGAGAAAAGGCCGTGTCAGAGCTTTAGGAGAACAGGACGTGGGACCAGTGCCCTTGGGTAGTGGCAAGGCGCCCTTTTGAAGACCTTGGGGCACGCTGCAGGGCTTCAGCTCATGGGATAGAGGAGGACAGAGGGAGTCGGGCAAGATTTAGAGAATTTCTGTCTCTGACCCTGCCACTGGAATTCAGTATTTCTCCAGTCAGGGCTCATGAAGACATCCTCAGCCCTGCAGAGGTAATGTGTGGGGACAACAGCTCTTCACACCACCACCCCCCAAGTCTGGGAAAGGCGAGGGTCGACCCAGACACCCCCACCTTTGGAGGTCCCTTCGATTTCCTTCCACTGCCCACTCCCACATGCTAGGAGAGTTCCCCTTTGTCACCCGGGTCTGTCTCCCGACCTTTCTGCCCGGTCTCCCAAGTCCCACGCTGCCCCTTCTTCCCTTTTACAGGTGTGTTCCCAAGTGGGCCGAGGAGGGCCCTGTCGACCGGTCTCTGTCTCTGGTCTCCCTTTTCCCACCTTAGCTTTCACCCAGCCCCCTCCGTGATTCTCACAGGCCCCAGGCTTCTGTTTACCCATCCCAGTACTGAGACAGAGGTCACTCTCCACTGAGAAAATTTCCTCTTCTTCCAGGGCTCTAATAATGCCTAATCCTGGCGGGTCCAGGAAGTGCTAATTAGCCCCCGCCCCCACCTCTCCCACTCTTCCCAGCCAGGCATTCACCTTGACCAGCTTTAATGAACACGCGGGAGGGAGGGTATCTCACCCCCTCTGAAGGGAGAGCCCTGCCAGAACCCAGGTCAGGAGGCTGCTGCCAGGAAGCTGCAGAGTTTAGAGACAGGACTGAGGTACATACCCTCCACCTTTTGCCTCCCTCCTCCCTGGGCAACTGCTCTTCAGGGCCAGAGGGCAAGAGGGAAGGGAGGACAGTGACACGCGCGGTGTGAGCACAGTCCCTCCAGGACCCACACTCCAGGGACCCAGCAAGATAAACAGCAGTGGACGGAGTGGCAGAAAGGAAACCCCGATGTTTTGGGGCCAGCGCCAAGAAGAGGAGAGCAACATTTGCACGGTTTTGAGATGGAGCATCGGGGCTGACATCCGGCCCCGGCCTCAGACCCACTGAAATTCATTAGTAGGTTGGAAGCCAGCCCGGCTGTTCACCCAAACCACCGCCCCCTCCGTAGAGAGAGGCCCTGGTGGGCCCAGGCAGCGAAGGAAAAAAGCCCCCTCCTGCCTCTAGACCTCCCTAGCTGCACAGCGGAGGCCTCGCCCTTGCGACGGGCCCCGCGCGGTGCCACAGCACAGTCGCCGCTAACAGTCAGAAGATCCTTTGAAAGGCTGAACGGGAAATCTCAAGTGTGCGAGTGTGCGTGGAGGGAGGGGAGGTGTCCCCCTAGGAACTGAGGGGCGGGGCTGGAAGAGCCGACCGTGTCCAGGCGGGGTTCCCCAGAGCCGCCCTCCCCCCTCCCACCCGTCGGTCTCTTTATGTACAGGAAAGGCGGGGGGTGGGGGGGTCCGGACCCCATCGGGGTCCGTCCCGCACACCCTCGCCTCCCTGCTCCCCGCGCCGTGCCCAGCACAGCCTCAGTCACCATCACGACTCCCCCCACTACACGCCAGGGGCACGGTCCGACGAGGGGCAGGAGGGAGGACGGTGGGCCTGCCGGGGCGGGGGGGGGGGGCCCGGAGGTCACAGTGAGGTCTCTACGCAGGAGCCGTGGCGGTGCAGCGGCCGGTGGCTGTGGCCCAGACACCCCTCCTGCCGGTGCACGATGAGGACCGGGAAGTAGAGGGCGTCGTGGTAGGGCGGCGGCGGCCCGGCCTCCTCGTCGTCGTCGTCCTCTTCGTCCCCCATGCTGGCCTGGCTCGACAGGCGCGTCTGCTCGGTGGGGCAGCTCGCCTCGTTGACGCTCCCGCTCCGGCTGCGCCACAGGCAGCTGCGTCGGGAGCCGTAGAGGCGGCCGAGCGAGAAGCGGCTGCCCCCGCAGCCCGGCCCGCCCCCGGGCCCCGGGCCGGCCCGCGGGCTGGCGCAGACGCTGAGCGCGCTGCGCGAGAAGATGGACGAGCTGCTGACCGCGCGCTGGCAGTGCTCGCAGCTGCGCCGGTACGGGGCCACGCCCGCCGCGCCCGGGCCGCCCACCCCGCCGTAGCGGCACGCGGGCGCGTACCCGCCGCCCGCCGCCCCCGCGCAGCGCGCCCCCAGCCCCGCCAGGTCCATGAGCACCGCCTCTGAGTAGCTGGGCACCAGCTGCTGGTTGGAGCGGATGTGCCACTCGAGCTCCGTGCTGTCCACCGTGTTGACCCGCGGCAGGCGGTGCGTCAGCGGGGGCAGCAGCTCGTCGCTGGGGCTCAGGCCGCCGCCCGCGCTGCTCGCCGAGCCCGGGCCCTCCAGGCCGAAGAGCTTCTCCACGTGGTAGTGCGCGTAGGCCGTGCGGTACTCGGCCAGCACGCGCAGCGGCCACGACAGCGTGAGCAGCGCCGCGGCCCAGAAGGCCGACGAGCAGGCGTACCACGGCGGCCGGGCCGGGTCCGGGAAGGCCACCATGAACTCGCGGAAGTCCACGTTCTTGAGGTGCATGCCCTCGCGCGCCTCCATGTAGTCGTCCAGGCCCTCGTTCTCGGCGAAGAAGCGCGCGCGCTGGCAGAGGTAAGCGTTCTCGGCCTCCACGCTGGCGAAGCTGAAGCACTTGGTGAAGCGCAGGCGCGTGGCCGGCGCGCCCTCCAGCCCCACCAGCGCCTTGGACACGTCGCGGACGCCGCAGCGCGCGTAGTCGAATTCGGCCTCCGCCACGTGCGTGTTGACGCGCTCATGGTAGACCTGCGGCGCCGGGGAGGGCGGCGGGAGTCGCTTCTGTCGGCTCACCCTCGTCCGCCCCATCGCCGCTCTTGCTGCCCGCTCAAACCCTAAGCCTGCCCCGCTTTAGAGCCCGCTTGGAGCCCGGTAGGATCTTATCATCTGCTTTACAGAGCAACGCAGGCCCTGAGCGTCATCCATTAGAGAGGAGGATGGGCTGAAAGTCGGACCTACCCGGGTGCATGCTAATTTTAATTAAGCCCTGCTTCATCAGGGGGTCAGGCGCTGGCCCTGAACTGCCCGTCGGGCTTGCCCGACCTTTCTGCCCGGTCTCCCAAGTCCCACGCTGCCCCTTCTTCCCTTTTACAGGTGTGTTCCCAAGTGGGCCGAGGAGGGCCCTGTCGACCGGTCTCTGTCTCTGGTCTCCCTTTTCCCACCTTAGCTTTCACCCAGCCCCCTCCGTGATTCTCACAGGCCCCAGGCTTCTGTTTACCCATCCCAGTACTGAGACAGAGGTCACTCTCCCCTGAGAAAATTTCCTCTTCTTCCAGGGCTCTAATAATGCCTAATCCTGGCGGGTCCAGGAAGTGCTAATTAGCCCCCGCCCCCACCTCTCCATGGGGCCTCCCGTGCCTACCTCCACCTCTTTGCCAGCAGACTCCCACCTCTGGGAGCCTTGGACTTGGGATCCAGGGCCCTGGGTTTGAGTCTAGCACTACCACTTAGAAGCTGCAGACCTTGGGCAAGTCAATGAGCTTAGGATTCCTTACCTGTGAAAAAGGACCTGGTAGCAGCCACCTCACTGAACGGGTGAGAGCATGCTGTGAGAGAGTGCATGTGAAGCCATCTCCAACCATTAAGCACTAAGCTGAGATCCTGACAGACCCTGGAGCCAGACTGCCTGGGTTCAAATCCCAGCTCCACCACGTACTAGCTGTTTGACTTTGGGCAGGGTACTTAACCTCTCCAGGCCTCAGTTTCCTCATCTGTAAAATGTGGATAGTAGTTACCTACCTCATAGGGTTGTTATGAGGATTAAAGAAATGATTTGGTATTTATGATGTATGTCGGGCAGGGCCTGGCTGCTAAGTGTTTGCCGTCATTATTATGGTTGTTACTGCCCTCCTGTTTCAGTGTCCACAAGAGCTCACTGCTGCCTGAGTTCCTCCCCCTGGGGACAATCAGTCAGGGTCCCAGCGCGCCCCCCCCCTCCAGCCCCTCACCTGGGTGGTGGTGTAGGCGTCTCCATTGCGGTATCGGGTGACCTGGCGGGTGCGGCGGACATAGTGGTAGCTGATGGCCTTCCACCAGATACAGGGCGTGGCCTGCTGCATGCGGCCCACACGCTCCCGCACGCTGCTCACATCAACACGGTGTTGCAGCTCATGGCGGGCTTGGCAATGCCAACACTCCACCAGGTAGACGGCGTACAGCATGAGCAGGAAGGCCAGGGGGATGTAGACATAGCCGTTGGAGCAGGGGCTGTCGTGGTACATGAGGCTGTTGCCCTGGTAGGCGCTGCTGAAGGTGAGGCGGGTCACCGTGGTTACGTGGCACCAGGCCACGGCCCCCAGACAGCCGTACATGAGCAGCGAGAGTAGCAGGCACTTCCAGTGGGACTCACGGCAGAGGGACTTGGTGAAAGAGGGCTGGATGGGACGCTGCTGCTCACATGGGCAGGGGAAGGTCCGAGATGAATGGGGAGTGAGACGGAGTGGTAGGACCCGGCACAGAGATGGATGGAGGGGTGGAAGCCAGCATCAGAGATGACAGGCAGACAGGGACGTGGAGAGAAAAGGTAAGACCAAGATGGGAACCAAGGACCAAAGATAAATGCAGAAATGACCCAGAGTGAGGCACGGGGACAGGAAAAGAGAACGGAACACCAGTACAGGGAAGTGTGGAGAGAGACAGACACCCCAAAAGGCAGAGAGGGATCAGAGCCAGAGACGGAGGGAGGAGGCCCGGGTGGCAGAGAAGACACAGATGGATAGAATGGCACCCAGAGAAACAGAGTCCAAAGACAGACATAAAGATGGCCATGAAACAGGAGGTGTGGATGGGGAAGACAAGGGAGGACAGATAGGCATCAGCGAAGGCAGGTCCCCAGCCAGGACTCCTTCCAGGTGTTCCAGGAAAGTGGGGAGGGACCCACTGACATCACCTTCCCACTTAACAGGTGGGACCCTCACATCTTCCCGATTCTTTGAGTCCTGGGTTCTGGAGGAGCCAGTCCTCTTTGACCCATCCACCCCCCCGTCCCTCACAGACAATTAGTCTCATACCTCCTTTGGAGGGGTGGGGGGGGTGCTCAGGAAACCCCAAGCTCTGACTCTCCCCACAGTATGACCCAGAGGCCCCCTGTAAGTCTCCTTCCTGGACCCTAACATCCTTCCCCTGTTCTAAGATGAGAGGGAGAGGACTAGCATCTCTGAGTAGAAGGCAGTCCAGGAGGAGACATCCAGAAGGGCAGAGACAAGTGGCCTGGGGAGCGGGGCTGTGGGACCAGGTTAGGGGGGTAGGGAGGAAGACGTTTGCCATCCAGTCATTTGTCAAAATGATTCTTGGGGCTCTCTGGGGGCCTGTTAAAGCACTTGGCCCACTCCGTCCCACGTTCACCCCAGTGAGTTGTTTACACGTCTAGACTGGGTGCTCCTGAGGGCAGGGTCTCATTTTCTGCATCCTGGGTACCCACCATGGTGCTGGCACCCAGCAGCCACTTAATAGATGAGAATTGAGTTGGATTTCTGGTGGTGGGCTGTGCTTTCCCACTCCTCCTCCCTGCTGTCTAGCTTTAGGAGCCCTCCCCCCAACACACACACACACACACACACACACACCCCACTGAGATCCTGATTTCCTCCAGTTCCCCAGGCCTGACCTGGAGTCTAGCCACGGAAAGGGAGAAGAGGGTAGAAAGGAAGGGCACAGTCACAGACAGCAGGCCCTGGACCTGGTGTGAAATGAGAGGAAAGATCTGGAAGTGTAGTTAGGTAGGTGGGCTAGGCAATAGCACACAGCATATACAAACAAGATTAGGGTACATGTACCCTTCCAGGAGCCTTGTCCTTGAGGGGTGTGTAGATGTGCACCTCCGTGGGCCCGCCTGAGTGGGCACGTGTCCCATTGACAGCACATCTGAAAGGGTCTCTACCTGCAGGTCTGTCCCTGCCCATGTGCTTCTGCCCTAGTGCAGTGTGTGTGTGTGTGTGTGCACGAGTGTGCATGGGAGATGGGGGGAGGGGAGCAGTGCTACTGGTACCTTCCTCAGTCTCTTTGTTTCCAGGTTCAGAGGACTGAAGAGTAGGGCCCCCAACTAGGGATATGCTTATTTCCAACATTCTGAAGGATTCCTGGGCTCAGGGCCCCCCCCCCCGGGAGTGGGGTAGCTGCATGGACACTGGGAGAGAGAGGTGCACTCACACACTCCCAGTGACCCCAGGGGGAGTCGCCTCTGTACACGTTTGACCTTCTTAGGACCACAGCTCAGGTACCACCACCATTTCCCCATGGTACTCTCCTGCCTCTGTAGCCCCTACAAGTCGCCCTTGCTGGCCTTCAAGATAGCATCCCCTCCGCCAAACAGGATTCCTGCCACTGTCCCCACCCCATCCGCCCGGGGTCCGCGAGGCTCCACCCCTAAGCCCCTCCCCCTGCCCAGGACCCCCCCCGAGCCCCGCCCCCGGCGCAGCCCCTTCCCCGCCACCGCGGACAGCTCCGGCCGCCGGTGGGGGCATCGGCGCGGGACTGCGGCTGCGGCGGCCGACTCGGGGTGCGGGGCGCCGGCCGCGCTGCGGCGGAACCGGCGGGGGCCGCGCGCGGCGGGGAATGGGGGGCCAGGCTGCGGCCGCGCCCGGGTAAGGGGCGCCGCCTGTTCTCACCTCCTCTCGGGCGGGGCCCTCGTCCGCCGCCGCCGCCGTGGGCTCTTCCGGGACCCCGGGGCCGCCACCTCCGCCGCCGCCGCCGGCGCTCTCTCCCGCGGCCGAGCCAGGGGGGGACATGGCGTAGAGGAGGTGCGTCGAGCTCAGGGCTTCCCGGGGGGCTGCCGGGGGCCGAGGGCATCCTGCGCGGGCCCTGGGGAGGGGGCGGGAGGGGGCGGGGCCCTCACTGCTCCCCACCCCCCGCCGGGGGGAGGGGGCCTGGAAAGGGCACCGGGGGTAGGGAGTTAGGGGCTTGGGGGGTGGGGAGGCGGGCTGGGGGGCCGGGCCGGGGGTGGCCGGGGCCGGGGGCGGGTGTCACCTTGAGGCCCTCGCGGCGCCGCTCCGCCTCCCGCCCGCTCCCGCCGCCGCCTTTTGTCTGAGCGGAGCTGGAGCCAGCGCGCCCCCCCTCTTCCTCCCAGCGCAGGAGCCCCGCCCCTGGCCCCCCAAACTCCGCCTTCCTCAAGCCTACCTAACAGCCACCCCCCAAAGAGGAGAAGCAACAGGGGCTCCCCGCACCCCTTTCCCACTCTCAGCCTTGCTCACCGCACCACCACCCCCCATCCCGGGGAGATCTGTGCAGCAACTCCTTCTGTCCCTTCTCCGTGGAGGGGGCACCAGCGGTTCAACCAACATCCCTCCCCATCGCTGGTTCCCGCAAGTTCCTAGGGCCGAGGGTGGGGAAAGGAAATTGAGCCTTGGAACCCTAGGGAAGATCCTTATTCCCAGTTGGGTGGTAAGGGTTAAGGCCGGAGCCAGCCTTCAGAGGCCAGACCCAAGTGAACAGAGATGGAATCGGGTGAAAGGGAAAGGTTTGGAGCTAGATCTGAGAAAGGACTAACAGAGGGCAGAGGGGAGGACATTAGAATGGGGCTTCACAGAGCCATTTTCCTTCCCTAGAGAAACAGTCCCAAAGCAGCAATGAAGCATGGGCGTTGCCCTAGGCTGGGGATCAGGAAACCTAAGTTCCAATTCTTAATCCTGGCTCTGCCATTAAGGGGTTGTGTGACCTTGGGCAAGTGCCTTCCCCTCTTTAAGCCTTAGTTTTCTCATCTGTGCATTGAAGAAGTTGCCTGGACAATCTCTAAGGCTCTGCCCTTCTTCCGTGGGTGTAGGAAGCAAAATCATAGACCCCAGGCCAAGCTGAGTGACTGCAAGTAGCCCACCCCTTCCTGCCATCCACCCACACTGCTTCTCCCTATACTGCCTGGGACTGGCAGAAAGAAAACTGACATGCATTCATTCATTCCTGGATGCATCCATTCAATAAACAGGCATTGGCTACCTACTGTGTACCCTGTTCAGAAATGAAACATACAATATTCTACTCTCAAAGAGCACAAAGTCTAATGGGGAGGGGGCAATCATTATGATAAAATAGTATAAAGGCTATGCATATTCAATCTGTGTGTGCACACTGTGGAATCCTACTGTGTGCCCTGTGCTACATTAGAGTCTTTGACATATAGTAGCCGGTCCCCCATTTACCCACAAGGAACCAAGGTATAGGGAGTGTGAATGATTTACTCAAGGTCACCTGCTAGTATTCACAGAGCTAGTCCTAGGATCCAGATCTTTCCCATTCCAGAGGCCATGGGGATATTTGTGGGTAGGAAGTTAGCTTAAGGCAAAGTTTTGGAGAATCTAGTCTCTGGGACAGGGGACGAGCGCACCGATCTGCTGGGATGCTCGCCTGAGGCAGAGTAGCCACTGCCTCTGTCCCACCCCTCCACACACACCCCCACTCCTGGTCCTGCCTCCATTGTCTTGTTCTCCTCTTTCCAGGCAAAGTAAAGGTGGCGGACTGGCTGTGTCCTGCTTCAGAACCATCCAGCCCGCGTGCTCCTCCCCGGGTCAGTCATTCTGTCCTCCAGACCCAAACAGACGAAGGGCGTGGTCCTGAAGAGGCAGGCCTCGCCCCTCTTCTCATGGCACAGAAGGAATCTCACTTGGTGGCTCACTCCAGCGTCTCCCACCCATGTTTTGTGGGAAGCCCTGCCTCACATCTAACTCCAGCCCCTCTTCGGGTCTCAGCCGGTTCCACCTAGTTCAGCCCTCACGGCAGAGTGCAGAGTTCCTAGGCCTACCGTTTCCTAACCCAGATAGGAGGCTCACACCCCCATTTAGTTGTTGTAATCTTGCTCCTGTCCCCCACGCCTACTGCCTGCCTGCCTCCACCTCAGGGGGGCCTTGGAAGAGAGCTGACCCAACTCCTTTTGACCAACCCCAGAGCTCCCAAGAAATAAAGGACCCCTGACAAACCCCCCCCCCCACTGCCTTCTCCATTCACACACATCACCCTTCCTTGGAAGCTCAGGGGAAAGAGGGGTGAAGGGAGGGGGCGAGGAAGGAGCCAGCTGACCAGCTGGTCACCATGGCAACGGGGCCTGTTTCCTGAAGAGGAGCCTGGCTGGGGCGGGTGGAAGCTGGGAGTGGGGGCACTACAAAGGGAACCAGAAGAAAACAGCGGAGAGAGAAGCAGACTGGAGGGGCTGGGGAGACAAAGGGCCCTGACCATGCTGAGGCCCGAGTCAGAGTCCCCAGGTCACCCTTCCAAATGGCACTGCATGGTCCCTCTCCCCATTCTGAAGTGTCCCCAGAAGGGCTTCCTGTCAAGAGTGCAGGCAGGGTCTGGAAGCCACGAGTGACTCAATGCTGACCTCATGTGGCCAGAACAGGGGCTGCTACACACCTGTTGGGGTTCCAAGCAAGACGTGGGATTGAATTGGGATAGGTTTTTCCTTAAATTCAGCCTCTGTCTGAAGGAAAGGGTGGTCACTGCATACTCCTGAGTTCTTGTGTCCTTGCAGTGGGTTCAGACGCCCCAACTCCTTGGACCTTCATGAAGGAAACAAAGTTTCATTGAAAATGTTTTTCAAAGTTTTGGATTAGGGACAGGAGAACCTGGCCCTGTCCTTCCTGACTGGTTTGATCTTGGGCAGTTCAACTCACCTCTCTGGGTCGCCGTTTCCCAACTTTAAGATGGGGATGTGATAGTGCCAGATCTGAGCCCGTGTAGTGTGGGTCTTGAGTTCCTGACTGTATTTTTGCTCTAGTCTTTGAGGATGAGAGAGGAACATGTCAGGGGAGGAAGTTGAGAACATCTGAAATCACACTGACCTCAAGGGAAGGAGATGCCTCAATTTCCTTGGGCTTTCCCCTCGTGGCTTCTCACTGCCTCATGCTCAATACATCCCCTCCGCTCTGGCTCTCCACGGGGATGAAGAGCAGTGGGGCCTCTCCTCCCGTCTGCCCACCACTCTTCTCTCTTGACTCACCCCTCCAAGCATACACACACTAGGTACCTCTCTTCTCCCCAGCCTTCTTCCCTTCCCCTCACTCCACTAGGTAGTCGACCCCGCTATGTGCCCCCACGGCACCCTGTTCTCCCTCCTGTCTTAGTACAAGCACTCTGTATTATCATGGCCAGGGAGATTTTTGAAGGCTGGGACCATGGGACATTTTTGAATGGGGGTAGGATTAGTGGTCGTTGGTTATTACCATTACTATGATACTTGGTTTTGCTTCCAGCAGAAAGACCAATGTCAGGCATATAGGAAAAGCCCCACACGTTTGTCAAACAGATGACTAGATGGATGAATAAAATGAGGTTACATGGAGGAGGGCAGTAGAAAAGCTGGTTCGTAGCTGTCTACACTCACTCCAGCTTCCTTCCCCCAATGCCAGAGTTAGAAAAGGGAGATGTTCCCTTGGGGATGATCTTCTAAGGTCATTGATGCCCCTGGGTTGATGGCACTTGGGGTAGAAGATGAATCATGGGGCACAGGTTGGGGCTCACCATGTGGGTGGAGTTTGCCTACAACCTCCCTAGGCCCTTTAGACCCAGGGAAAGCAGGGACAGGGAAGGAGGAAAGATGTGCTGGCATTGGGGCTGTGGCTGTGGTGGAGACCTCAGCAGAGCATGGCCCAGCATGTCTGGGGCCTCCCCATCCTGGCCCCACCATGAGGAACTAAACTTCCCTGACCACTAGGAGTAACCAGATGTTGTAACTGCCCAGAGCCAGTGTTTCATCCCTGTGAAGAATGACCACTCTGCTTTTTCAGACAACAAAAAAACATGACCACTCTGCATTTTTTTTAAGACAACAGCTTGCCTGAGAAAACTCACTTTCAGAAAAAAAAAACCATCCTTGGGGCGCCTGGTGGCTCAGTCGTTAAGCATCTGCCTTCAGCTCAGGTCGTGATCTCGGGGTCCTGGGAACAAGCCCCACATTGGGCTCCCTGCTCCGCGGGAAGCCTGCTTCTCCCTCTCCCACTTCCCCTGCTTGTGTTCCCTCTCTCCTGTGTCTGTCTGTCTGTCGAATAAATAAATAAAATCTTAAAAAAAAAAAAAATCCTTGTGCCCAATTCTATGTGATCTGGGAAGTTGCTGCAGGAGACCCTCTATCCAGGACCCAAAGGGAGAACTGGTCCTTTAAAGACAGTAAGTATCCCCTTTCTTTCCCTACCCAAACTCCCGGGCACCGATAGATGAGAAAACCACAGAAATTGAGAGAAATGAGTAGGAGATAGGAAGCAGTGCTCTCCCTGCAAGATGCCCAGCCTGTGCAGACGATTAAGAAATATTCCTTTAAAAACAAACGAAAAGGGGCTCCTGGGCGGTTCAGTCGCCTAAGCCGCTGCCTTCGGCTCAGGTCACGATCCCGGGGTCCTGGAATCAAGCCCCCATTTGGTCTCCCTGCTGGATGGGGAGCCTGCTTCTCCCTCTCCCCCTCCCCCTGCTTATGTGTGCTCTCTCCCTCTGTGTCAAATAAATAAATAAAAATATTTAAAAAATAAAAACGAATGAATGAATGGAAAAAAGGAAGAAATGGAAGAAAGGAAGGAAGGAAAGAAAATGCATGGAATTAATGAATGCAAAGAAGGAAGGGAAAAATATGAATGCATGGATGGATGAATGAATGAATGGGTGAATGAATGAATGAAAGAGTGGGTAAATGAATGAATGAATGAATGAGTGGGTGAATTAACGCATGAGTGACTCAGGACCGGGTAACCCCTGACTCGAAGCCAACGCAGAGGGCGGGGTAAGGGGGATTCCGGAGGGCGGGGCCTCGGTCCGGAAGCGCCTGTCGGGGGCGGGGCCTGAGGGGCGGGGCGAGCGAGTGAGTCCGACTGGGCAGTCCAGCTGCGCGGAGTAGCCGCTGCCGTGGAAGTCACCCCCGCTCCGAGGCTCGCCCGCGCTTCTCGCCGACCCCTGGGGCTCCCGCAGCCCGGGAAGGAGGCCACTCCCGGCCGGGCGCCAGCTCTGCAGGGCGGACCTGCAACCCGGAAAGGCGGCGCGGCGGAGCCCGGAGCCGGATCCTACTCGGACCTGGCCCCCGCGGGCCGGCACCGCTGGCATGTCGGAGGCGCGGAAGGGGCCGGACGAGACAGATGAGAGCCAGTATGACTCGGGCATCGAGTCTCTGCGCTCTCTGCGCTCCCTGCCCGAGCCCACCCCGACCCCAGCCTCTGGGCCCGCGGATGGCGGCGGCCCCCAGCCCTGGACTCATCCTCCGGGAACAGCCGAGGAGCCACAGCAGGAAGACACAGATGGGGAGCGAGCTGACTCCACCTATGGTTCCTCGTCGCTCACCGAGCCCCTGCCCTTGTTGGGGGGCACGGAGACCGAGAACCCAGCCCCACGCTCGCCGCTCGCCGCCGCGGGGGCCCTGAGCCCTCAGCAGCTGGAAGCACTCACTTACATCTCCGAAGATGGAGACACGTGAGTATGGGGTCTAGGCTGAGACAGGGACCCCTTCCAATTGATGCTAACTCCCGGCCTGCCAGGATCTTCAACAGGCCGGGAACCCACTCTGTGAGGATCCCTCAAGACACCCGCGCTGGAAGGGGCAGTCCCCACTCTCTCTTCCAAACTCCAGACTTAACTCTCAGCCCACTTTTGAGCTCTGGCCAGACCCGGACCAGGGGCCCTGGCATCATCTCTCTGCCCTCCCTTTGGGAGGTGGGCAGAGCTGACAGGGCCCTTACCAGATACCTGGAACCCCAACTAGCAGCTTGGAAAGCTACCAATAACCCACCCTTGGAAGGGAAAATTCCCCTGACCAGTCCAGGGTTTTTGTTTTCTTTTTTTCTCGCTGGGGGAGAGGGCATCCTTGTTTGCTCAATATCTGGGATTCCCAGCCCCTGACCTCAGAATACCCTGTCTCAAGGAACAAAAGGTGCCAATCACAGGTTGCCAGTGGGAGTTATGAAGCGAAGGACGTGGGTACTGCCAGGGTGCAGAGCTGAGGCTAGCCCTGAGAAAGAGGGGGTGAGCCAGGCTGGGGCACTCTTGCCCCAGCAGACAGACAGGCGGCTGGTTGCCCAGCTTACTTCCTTCTCTGCTGCAAAAGGGGAAGTGAGGGCTGGAGTCAGCTTTACCGACACCCTCCACCTCCTGAGCCCCCCAGGTCCCCCTCACTTGTCCTGTCTGATCCCTTTACTTTACTCTTCCTCCCCCAGGCCCAGGTGAAGTTTGGTGGGGACTGGGCTGGGGGGCAGGCAGTTGAAGTAAGAAGCAGTTTGTGTGGGAGGGACTGGCCAGCTGAAGATTTGCCCCTTAGGAAGAAGAAACACTGTCAGGTGAGGATTTGGAGGTGAGAAACAGAGTGGAGTGGGCTGGGGTCCCAGATGGGGGATGCTGGAATGAATGGGGGTAGGGATGGTAGAGGAGGCCGGAGGTGTCTGTCCTGACCTGCTTTTTGGAGATGGGAGGGTCCTAATCCTGGGTTGCCTTTGACCAAGATAGCCTGTGGACCGGGTGGGTGAAAGAGGAATGACCCCAGGCCTTTCTGTGACCTGCCCAGATCAGCAGCCCTCAGGCCCAGAACCAAGATTGGGGGGGCTCCATGTGGAATACCTATGACTGACCTTTGACCTAGGGATTGAAGACTCCTGACGCTGCTGTCCTTCGTTAGCCTCTCTCTCTGTCTGCAGCCTTTACCTAGTTAGAGACAGGTGTTGTGTCTAGACTGTGGAGTTGGGGTTGGGGGGGGTGGAGAAAAGGTGTCAGGACTCCCCAGGAGTTCCCTAGAGGGGAGGGGGCACTCTCTTCCCTCAAGGGTGTCCGGCCTATAGGACTTATGGAAGTGGGAGGAGGAAGTGGGAGGAGGGGAGACGGGGAGAGAGGGAGGTGGCTGCAGGAATGTGACCTAGAGAACAGGCTCGGGCCGAGGGGATTTCCAGAGCGGCTCCTCCCGCCCTCCCTCCGTCACTCTCTCCTGCCGCCTGCCCCCCTCCTGCCTGAGCAGCCCCCTCCCCAGCCCAGATATGCCTTTACCCAAACTACCCCTCAGGGCAGTTAATGCCCCAAGGCAGCTGTCCTGGCCCAGACCCTCCAGCTCTGGCTTTCATTTTCCCCACCTGATGTGGGGAAACCCCAGGACTGGAACTTCCCCTCCCAGCTGCCCCCTCCCACCTTAGCAAGAGGCTAAGGCTCTTTGGCCCCCAAGAGCCGCACATTTTCTGCCCTGCACAGACCTCCCCTTGGAAGGGGAGGCTGCGTGGAGGGCCTCTGGTCAGGCCCCAGCCCGTCTGCGCTGCCTGCAGACTGACCCTCTCAATTCCCCTGTGAAGGGCAGCAGGACAGGATGCCTCGCTGGCTCCTGGCTCCTCTTCCAAGAGCTTCTGTTTTCTCTGTCCTGGAATGTGTAACATTGAGTCGCTGTGAGTGGGGGTAACCCCACTCCTGCCCTCTGAGTCCTCCCTGTTGGGGTTGGCGGAGGTGGGGAGCTCAGGCCCGGAAACCACCTCTGTGCTACCCCAGCAGCTTTCAGTTTGGCTTTGAGCTCTAGCCGGCCTGCCAGGGCCCTGGGGCCAGAGGGGAGTGGGGTGTGGGCAGGCTGAACAGGAAGGACCGTGTCCCATCAGCACCCTGCCCACGCTCCCACTCTGCCAAGGCCAGAGATGGGAACTTGGAGCTCGCAGCCCCAGGATCCTGGCTTCCCTCACCAACCCTGACTTCCTGGCCCGAACTCTCACTTCCTACACCTACCTGCCCTGTGAGTGGCTTCTTAGAGATTGATGTGTTCTTCCTTCTAACCCCAGGACCCCAGGACCCTAGCTCACTATCTAGGGCCCGAGCCCTGACACTAAACCCTCTTCCTGCTGCCTCCCCCTCCCAGGCTTGTCCACCTGGCGGTGATTCATGAGGCCCCAGCTGTGCTGCTGTGTTGTCTGGCTTTGCTGCCCCAGGAGGTCCTGGACATTCAGAACAACCTCTACCAGGTGGGTGGGGGGAGAGGGTGGCCTCTGCCCAGATACCTACACCTGCCCCATTCCTAGCAGCCACATTAGGTTGCATACTCCGGAAACCGGATGCCAGGTGCTGGGATAGAAGCTGGTGATACAGACATGAGTAAGACAGAGCCTCTGCCCACAAGATGCTCGAGCCTGGGCGAGGGGGCTCATGTCAACACCTGGTTACATAGCACGGTGACAAGAATTGTGATAGAGACACATACCAGCTACTGTGGGATCTAGTGTCTGTGGGGGCAGCCAGGGAAAGCTTAATTCGGGAGGAGGCATCTGCGTGGAGCCTTAAAAGAGGAGTACACCAGGTGGAGGCTGCCTGGTACCTCTGTCTTTCCTCCCTCCAACCTTCCCTTGTCACCTGGCCCCCTGGGGATAACAGAGGTCTCCCCAGAGGGGGAGGGGGTAGACCCCGCCGCCATCTGTCCTTTCTCCAGGGGCTGTGGGGACCTGCAAGAAGAGAGGGGCCCACTTCCCTCACCCTGCCTCCAGAAATGGGGGTCCCAAGAGCTTGGTGGGCAGTGACAGAGGGAAGGGTTTAGCAGCATTTCCTTGGAAGACCAGGGCCACAGCCTTTCTAAGCTGCCCTCAAAGAAGGTTCTGGCAGCTCGTAATTCCTGGGTCCACCCTAGCACGTTCCCAGAGGGGAGAGCATGCTAGAGTAGCCCTGGGCCCTTGTGCCTACAGACAGCACTCCATCTGGCCGTACATCTGGACCAGCCCGGTGCAGTTCGGGCCCTGGTGCTGAAGGGGGCCAGTCGGGTGCTACAGGATCGACATGGTGACACAGCCTTGCATGTGGCCTGTCAGCGTCAGCACCTGGCCTGTGCCCGCTGCCTGCTGGAGGGGCGGCCAGAACCAGGCCGAGGACCACCCCACACCCTGGACCTCCAGCTGCAAAACTGGCAAGGTATGGGCGGCCTCAGGGCCCGTGGGATGACAAGGGGGCAGGAGATGGACCCCGTTCCAAGCACATAGGTGCTCGGTACATCTTTGCTGAATGAATGGATGAATGAATGAATGAATGAGTGAGTGAATGAATGAATGAATTTGAGAATTTACTGAGAGCCTGCTGTGTGCAAAAGAGAGAGCTAAACCTTGCCCTCGAGGTATTTAGTTTAACAGCGATTAGATGAACTCATTAATTCATGTAACAAAAACGTACTGAGGGCCTTCTATGTGCCAGACATTATTCTGGGAGCTGGACTTGCGTCTGTGAACAAAACAGAGAATGACGGAGGCCAGCAGTAAGGCTAAGCAGGGAGTTCTCTAGCAGGTTAGCAAGCAGTAAGTCCAGTGGGAAAAGTAGAGCAGAGTGAGAACTAGAACGGCAGGGTTGCGGGTGGGTGTGATTTTGAAAGAGAATGGCCAGGGAAACCCTCGGGGCGCAGGGACATTTGAGCAGAGACTTGAAGGAGGTGAGGGATGTCACTTTGAATCTAGGTCTGGAGGCAGAGGGGGTTCCACGCCAGAGAGGAGTCAGCAGAAAGGTTAGGAGAGCCCAGGGCAGGAGGTGGACCCTGGGGAGGGGCTGGGGCCTGGGGATCCTGGAGAGCTGTGAAGAAGGTGGTTTTGGGACAGGGCTTGAAGGCGGGTAGAGTTTGAGAGAGGTGGGGGGGGAGGGAGAGAGAGAATGGGGGAGGGGTATGTGGGGGGGAGGGTGCGCCTGTATGTGGGGTGTCACTCAGCCACCTAACCCCTGAAGCATGAAAGTTTCAATAACATGACTCTGAAAAGGTGGAAACTTTGAGTTCCTTTCCCCTCAGACTTTTGAGGGGGTTTTTTGGGTTTGTGTTATAACAGTCCTGTGATCAGAAGCACTGAGTGGGCAGTAAGTCCCTTGGGGCTGAGGGGCAGGGAGGTCCCTGAAGGCGGGGGAGAGAGTGTTAGTGGATGCAGACGAGCAGCCGCCACCCTCACCCCATCCCAGGTCTGGCCTGTCTCCACATCGCCACCCTGCAGAGAAACCGGCCGCTCATGGAGCTGCTGCTTCAGAACGGAGCTGACATTGACACGCAGGTGAGGGGGCCAGTCAGGACCCAGCCCGGGGCCTGCCCCACCGCCTGACCCAGCCCCGGGTCCCCTGCCCAGCACTCAGAAGTGGTGGCACTCACCTCCTTATCCAGGGCCCAGCAGGATGCATCTCGAGGCCCCTTGGCTGACCTCCTTATTCCCCTGCAGGAGGGCACAAGTGGAAAGACCGCACTGCACCTGGCTGTGGAGACCCAGGAGCGGGGTCTGGTGCAGTTCCTGCTCCAGGCTGGTGCCCGGGTAGACGCCCGCATGCTCAACGGGTGCACACCCCTGCACCTCGCGGCGGGTCGGGGCCTCAGCAGCATCTCATCCACTCTGTGCGAGGCAGGCGCCGACTCCCTGCTGCGGAACGTGGAGGACGAGACTCCCCAGGACCTGGCTGAGGATGTAAGGGGCACAGGCTCAGCTCGGCTCTGCTCTGCAGGACCTCCCACACCCATAGCAGAGGCAGGCGCTGTAACAGCTGGAAGGGCCAAGGAGTTGGGATTCCGGAGTGTAATCCACAATTCACGACTCTGCCACTCACCAACTGTGGGACCTGGGGCAAGCCTCTGCCCCTCCCTCGGCCTGTCTTCTTAGTTGGTCAAGACCAGGGAACTCAAACTTGGACTCTAACAGGATCAGTGAGGCCAACTAGGTGTAAGACAGGGTGGTGGGGCCTGTGGGAGATCAGAGGCTATGCCCAAGGGTCACTCTACTTGGCTTCAGCAGAGAGTCGCAGAGGAGGAGTGGGCCCAGCACTTCCAAGTCTTGGAGTTTTTTTTAAGAGAGATGGAACCTAGATTTCCTGTACAGTCTTTCCCATTTTAAAACGTTCAGTGTAAAAAAGTATTCGGGGGCGTCCAGCTGGCTCAGTCAGTAGAGCATGTGACTCTTGATCTCAGGGTCATGAGTTCAAGCCTCACTTTGGGCCTAGAGCTTACTTAAAAGAATATTCAAAATATTTCATAAGTACTCCACCCCATTGCCAAAAAACTCTCCAGACCTAAGGGCTAGACCATCTCTGGGGTGCTTGTTAGCTCTGCTATTCTGACATTATCTTAGAGGGTGAGGGCTTGTTTAAGGCTTCAGGGCTCTGCCTAGCCCAGAGGGGCCTCTATTTGGGGGATTAGTAGGAAGTAGGAAGATTTGTTCCCCGATGTCCTTTAGCTGTCATTTGGTGGAGGGGAAAAGACCCAGTCTGTCTCCCCAGCTCCCTTCCTCCACTGCTGCCTTTTCCCCATGGGCCCTGATCTTGCTTCTCTCCATTCTCTTTCTCAGCCCTTTGCTCTTTTGCCCTTTGATGACCTGAAGATCTCTGGGAAGCCACTGCTGTGTGCCGACTGAAGCCAGGGCAGAGTCTGGGGCCCCGGAGACTCCATCTCTTCCCATCTGGAAGCTGGAGCCATAGCTGCTGCAGTTTGGGCCCAGACAATGTGCCCTCTTGGTGTCCTGGGGACTGCTGAGGCCACAGCCTGGGGCCAGCACAGTCCTGAGCTGAGAGGAGGGATCACAAGTGAGCGAAGGCCAGTCTGGAAGGAAGACCTTCCTGGGTGGACGGGGATTCTTGAAGACTCCCAAAGCCCCGGGTATCCTGGGCGAAGCCTGTTTGACTCTAAAAGAAGGCAGGGACTCTTGTTTCTACCCATGTCTGGTCAGCCTGAAACGGCCAACCAGTAGGAAAACATGGACTCTCCTGCGTGAGGAGAGAAACTGAAATCAGCAAGCAGGACCCTGAGGGGTTCCATCTCACTGCTGTGGAGGACTCTTAAACACTGTTGTTTAAAGACTTCACACCGAAGGCCCTAAACTGAGCCTTTGGGGAAGGGGAAGTTTCAATAACATGACACTAAAACAGCAGAGACCTTTAAAAAGTTTCCACCAGCGTTGTTTTGTGCACGCACATGTCCATGTACATGAGGGATTTTTAGATAGGCCTGCCTTGTGACTTTATGGTAGAGACAGAGAGAAGGAAATTGCCACCTGAAACAAACTGAGCGTTGCTGGAGTGGTGGGGGGGGGGAGGGGTTGGGGGGTCGCTAACAGCCCTCCGGCCTCTCTGTCCATAACAAACTCTTGCCCTTTCTGTGGAAACAGAGGGATAAAGAGGAGGTGAAATGAGAAGACTGCCCCCCACCCCCCGTGGGAGGGGGGTGCTCATCACTGCCCTGGAGGGGCCTAGAGAGAAGAGTGAGCCTATGGAGGGTAACGAAAGGGAGCTATGGCTTTGTATGTTTTTCCTTTCATTCCACAAGTTTGAAGTCCCTGTCAGGTGAATATGGTCGATATGGCTATGGGGGAATAAACCAACACAATCTCTGGCCACGTGGATCTTACAGTCCAGTGAATGAGACAGCCATTAAAATCAGAAACATCCAAATAAATATGTAATTACAAGTTGCAGTGGATGCTGTGAAGGAAAAATAAAGTGAGGAGAACACAAGCTGGTGGAGGGCCTTACTTTGGCTAGTCAGGGGAGGTCTCTGAGGCGTGTCCTCGCAGCCTGGACTGAAGGATGAGTAAGGAATGTGGGGAGAGCGTTCAGGGGAAGGCCTTTGGTGAACTAGAGGACCTGAGGGCAGGCCAGTGGGACTCCGCAGAGGGTGGGTGAGTGCGCGAGGTAGAAGGGCCAGGTCATGCAGAGCCTCGAAGGTCATGGGTTGTTGGGGGACAACTGCAGCTCAGCGGAGAAAGGAAGATCTTCCCGTCAGAAATCGGGAAAGGGGTAACGTAAGAGGAAGTGCTTGGGACGCAGAACCTCAATGTCCCCGTCCCAAGATGGCAGGGGGCACCACTACCTCCCGGGTTGGTTGTGAAGGCTAAGGGCGATGGCGAAGCGGGGTCGGGGTGCGCGGCCTGGGGGCTTCCCGCCTCTCTCTCCCTCCCCCCGACCCCTGCCCCTCGCCCCTCCCGGGGCAGCCCTGCTCCCGGCTCCCGAGCCGCGTCTCCCTCCGGGCCACGCGGGGGCGCTGTGGCCCGCCGGCGGCCCGGGGCGCTGCGTGGTCGCGGCGGGGGGCGGAGGGGCGGCCGCGGGGAGTGGGGCGGGAAGAGCGGGGCACTTCCGCTAGCCGCTCGCTCACTGGCCGCTGCTGGAGGCGGAAGCGGAGGGAGCGCGCGGCCCGGGGACCGCATTCCCCGGCCCCCCCTCCGCCCCACACGGCCCGGACCATGGACGCCAGGTGGGGGGCTAGGGGAGCGGCGGGCCCACGTGACCGAGCCCCCGGGCCACGTGACTGCCGCTGCTGGGCACGGAGGGGCCGGGGTGGGGTCCCAGCTGCCGGGCGGCCGACCGCTGGGGCCCGGAGCCGGCAGGGAGAGGGGGGCGCGGCGTGGACTTGTGCTCCTGGCGAGGGTCTGGGAGTGTCGGGCGGAGGAGTTGGGAACCCTGGCGCTCCCGGACCCTGGAAGGCGGGGTAGGAGGAGGGGGCGCCGCCTGTGGCCCGAGCGGCCGGCGACCGCTGGAGGGAACAGAGGGAACCTGTGTGGTCAGAGGGGCGGGTCCGCCCCCGGGGAGGGAGGGAGCCCTGCCTGGCCCGCGCCGCCCCCGCCTCCCCCCGCCCCCGCCAGGAGAGAGAGGCTCTTTGTCCGGGCTGGGCTGCAGCTGAGGGGGGCGGGGAGACTCCGGGCCCTTCTCCAGTGTAGTCCCCTCTGGAGGGCCGAGTGCACTAGGAACTGCACCCTAATCCTTACGTTCGCTGTCCCGCAGGTGGTGGGCAGTGGTGGTGCTGGCTGCGCTCCCCTCCCTGGGGGCAGGTGGGGAGACCCCCGAAGCCACTTCTTCAGAGTCATGGATGCAGCTATGGTTCTTCCGTTTTTTGGTGAATGCTGCTGGCTATGCCAGCTTTATGGTACCCGGCTACCTGATGGTGCAGTACTTCAGGCGGAAGAACTACCTGGAGACAGGTGTGTGCGGAAAGGGTGGGTTAGTGTGCTCGGTCCGTTTTATGAGTGCTGACCTGCAGTCCAAATAGGGATGTGGCTTGGAAAGGGTGGGAGGGAGACCTGCAGGCCTGACAGCAGGGTAGCTGGCTGCTCTGGGGAAGATGAGGTGCTGGAGAGATGATGAGATCTTGACCTTGTGTGCCTTTTTTAGGCAGAGGTCTCTGCTTCCCCCTGGTGAAAACTTGTGTGTTTGGCAATGAGCCCAAGGCCTCTGACGAGGTTCCTCTGGCTTCCCGAACGGAGCCGGCAGAGACCACTCCCACTTGGCAAGCCCTGAAGCTGCTCTTCTGTGCTGGGGGGCTCCAGGTAGGCCGGCGGGCTCTGCTTCTCTTCCTGGGTTGGGCCCCGGTGGACAGGGACTGCATGGTCCCAGCAGTTTCCTGGCCTAGTGTGTTCATGGCCCCCTCCTCCCAGGGGCATGCTGTACCATCATCTTCTTAGAAGTGGTTGGAGGACATGCTGTCTTTCCTCTTGTCTGTGATGTCTTCTGGGCTGTTACTACACTTCCTCCTGCAATGATGTGTCTGGGATATGTTAACCCACTGATCAAAGTTTGGGGAAGCCATTCAGCCTTCCCCCCACTCCATGTGAGAAGGAGCTAAGATGCTGAGCTCTTGGCACTTTGGAGTGGGCACTGCTAGTTCTCTGCCTGCGGAACAGGTGTCCCATCTTTTTACTCCCTGAATTGAGAATACATAGGAAGATACCTGGGATGGAGTCAGCTTTAACATAACCTTGTGTGGGCTACACAGGGTCTGGACAGTCCTAAAGCACTTGTGTTTCACACACACTTGATTCTCTCCGAGGTGAATGCAGGCTTGGGAGGGGAGAGGAAACTTCTAGTTACTACAGAGGGACCAAAATATGTATGCTGTCCTTTAAATCATTTAGAAATCTGAGGAAGAGGGAGGTTGTCTGGATGCTTTTTGGCTCATCTTTCCCTTCTCTTGCTTATCTTCTCCCCGGTCCTCCCCCACCCAGGTGTCTTATCTGACTTGGGGAGTGCTGCAGGAAAGAGTGATGACCCGCAGCTATGGGGCTACTGCCACGTCACCAGGTGAGCGCTTCACAGACTCACAGTTCCTGGTGCTCATGAACCGAGTGCTGGCACTGATCGTCGCCGGCCTCTACTGCATCCTCTGCAAGCAGCCCCGCCACGGGGCACCCATGTACCGGTACTCCTTTGCCAGCCTGTCAAATGTGCTTAGCAGCTGGTGTCAATATGAAGCGCTCAAGTTCGTCAGCTTCCCCACCCAGGTGCTGGCCAAGGCCTCCAAGGTGATCCCGGTCATGCTGATGGGCAGGTTGGTGTCTCGGCGCAGCTACGAACACTGGGAATACCTGACAGCTGGCCTCATCTCCATTGGGGTCAGCATGTTTCTGCTGTCCAGTGGCCCCGAGCCCCGCAGCTCCCCCGCCACCACGCTGTCAGGCCTCATCTTGCTGGCAGGCTACATTGCCTTTGACAGCTTCACCTCAAACTGGCAGGACGCCCTGTTTGCCTATAAGATGTCTTCTGTGCAGATGATGTTCGGGGTCAACCTCTTCTCCTGCCTCTTCACCGTGGGCTCCCTGCTAGAGCAGGGGGCCCTGCTGGAGGGAACGCGCTTCATGGGGCGACACAGTGAATTTGCCGCACATGCCCTGCTGCTCTCGGTCTGCTCCGCATGTGGTCAGCTCTTCATCTTCTACACCATCGGGCAGTTTGGGGCTGCCATGTTCACCATCATCATGACCCTCCGCCAGGCCTTCGCCATCCTCCTCTCCTGCCTGCTCTATGGCCACACGATCACTGTGGTGGGAGGCCTGGGGGTGGCTGTGGTCTTTGCTGCCCTCCTGCTCAGAGTCTATGCTCGGGGCCGTCTAAAGCAGCGGGTTAAGAAGGCTGTGCCTGTCGAGTCTCCCGTGCAGAAAGTTTGAGGGGCCCAAGGGGTGAAGTGGAACAAGACCCTCACCATACCGACTTCCCTCTCCTACTGTAACTTCGGAGGCGGTTGGCTTGAGGGCAGAATGCAGGGTTTTTTCTCAATATCTCCAACCAGCTCTGCAAGCTGGGGTTGAGTCCAAGAGGCAGCCTTCCCCTTTGCCTTAAATCACCCGATCACCAGTACGGATTCTTCTGAGGACCGTCCTCGGCGTGGAGGGGTGCAGAGAAGGCAGAAGCACCTTCCAAAGCCCCCAGCCCCTCACGTTCTCCAAGGTCTTGCCCTGTGGACTCCAACACCTCACCTGTGCTTGTCCCCTACCCTACCCTGAGTAGCCCACCCTTGCAGACTCCCTCCCAGAGACCTACAGTTCTTACTCTGGGGAGAAAAGCACAAGTGTTGTAGGCTCCAAGCGCTGCTTTCCCAGGAGTCTGTGAAAGATGGTGCTGAGCTGGAGGAGGGGGATGGGAGAGCCCTGCCCAGTGACACCACCCTCTCTGCTCCTGGATCCCTAGGCTCTGCTCCAAGAGCCAGTTGCAGGTTTTGGTACTTGGAAATGTAATTTTGCTCTTATAATTTTATTTTATTAAATTAAATTGCTGCAATGGACTTAAGTCCTGTGTTTTGGCTCACTGAAGCATATGCTTTAGGAAGGGAACTGAAAGGGTATTATACATGGTAGTTTGAAGCTACCCTTTATTGTCAATGCTGGGTGATTTCAAAAGTGCGAAGTGGCTACAGGTGACCCTAGCTTTCAGTGTACCAGAGATACCTATCAGAATAACAGTAGGTTCAACTTGGGATAGAAAAGCTAAGGAAACTCAAAAGACAGCATGAGATCCACTTTACAAGGGAGAGCATAACTGTATAAAACTGTATCTTCTTTATTTTGCATACTTTAATCTCGGAACAAAATAAACAAAAAAAAACACCCACAATACATATCCAAACCCCGTCAAATATCGGAAGGGATAGGGCTTGAGGGCCTTCTTTCCTGCCTCAAAGACAGGAGAAAA